TTGCCTCTGTATTGGGTTAAGCGTCGGAACCCATTTTTATGGGACCAGGGTCTGAACCCATTCATGGGACCAGCCACTCATGCGTGGACTGAGTGCCGAGTGAAGGCATGTGGACTCGAACGTTGGGTCGGCTAAGTGTTGGGGTAAGCGTCGGTTGGTACAAGGCTAACGAGAACAGTACAGAAGAATCGGCAGCGCCTGTTTTTATTTTATTTTTGATAGGAAGAGTAGGCTTTGAACCGGGTCTGTTGGTTTTGTCCGGGCGTAGAGGGCCAAGTTGGCGACATTGTGTGCGACATCGTGTGCGACATTGTTTGCGACATTGACATTGTGTGCCACATTGTGTGCGGCATTGTGTGCGACATTGTGTGGGACATTGTGTGGGACATTGTGTGCGACATTGTGTGCGACATTGTGTGGGACATTGTGTGCGACATTGTGTGCGGTCGGTCGTAGGCGAAATTGTGTGCGACATTGTGTGCGGCCGGTCGTAGGCGACATTGTGTGCGACATTGTGTGAATAGTATGAAGGTACGAAAGCTTGACGTGGAGTGTTTTGACGGAGTAAGAAGTAGTGAATAGGATTAAGGTACGAAACCTTGACGTGGGTCGGTTCTAGGCGACGGTTCTGGAACAGTTGCCTTATAAGAGTTTAAGATCTTAGCAGTGCTTGGCTATGCCTGCAAGTGCGTCGTGAGTAGAGAGGGGAGAGGGGAGAGGGGAGAGGGGAATGATGATGATCGGCGCGAGTTTGGGCTTCACGTTTGGTTGGTTGTTAGGGGCTATATACCAAATTGGCGACGATCGCTTTTTTTTTTTTTTTTTTTTTTGGAGAAAAGAGAAATTTCCATTCCAAATGAGAGACAGGGGCCCGGGAATACACCCCGACAATTCCGAGCGAATTTTTCATCATATGTAATGTAAGTTTCTTTCGGCATTTCTCAGACAATGTCATTGACTGTCTCACCTTAGTGTTGTGGGACATGTTCTAGGAGATTGACTGTGTGACGTAGGTGTCGTGTGCTGGCTTCTTGCTGTGTATGATTATGCTGTGTGAGGCAATGATTGCTTCTTCTTGCTTATGTATTGCACACTGCAGCAGAGCGCGGCTCAGGCCTCAGAAGGAAAAAAAAAAAGATTTTTTTTTTTTTTTTTTTTTTTGGAAACTCTCCCTGAGGTTTGCGAGGTTATTGTGTTCCTCCCACAGAGCGGCACCAACCTCTCTCTCTCTTCCCGCTTGAGAATTACCTTCGCACGGTCATTTGTAGGTGCATTTAGTGCCGCTTTCAGTCCAGGTACAGTGATGACACCCACACGTTGTGTTCGGGGTAAGATGACAGGGTCCCTTGTTTTTCCCTTTGTTTTTAAATGAATAAAGGACCCGTACAGCCATCCTTTCTTCTTTTTTTTTTTTTTTTCCGAAAAAACAATGACTTATATTCTCAACAAATCAAGATACAGCCATCCTGGGGGAATGCTGTTTTTTTTTTTTTTTTTTTTTTTTTTTTCCCCCCTCCTCATCAGCCCGGATCCCGTTCGACCACACAAAGTACGTAATGCCATCCACGTGTCTTTCCTATCTTTTTTTTTTTTTTTTTTTTTTGAACCTTTTATCCTCGTCCTCATCAGCCCGGATCCCCATCAACCCAGACATAGTACGTAATCCCGTCCAGGTGTGTTCAGTTGACCTCTCTTTCTTGCCTTCACGGAAAAACCTTTCGTCCATCGCTGAAGGTCTTCGTTTAGTTAATTTAATCCATTGTGTGCGGCATTGTGTGCGACATTGTGTGGGACATTGTGTGCGACATTGTGTGCGACATTGTGTGCGACATTGTGTGCGACATTGTGCGACATTGTGTGGGACAGTGTGCGACAGTGTGGGCGACATTGTGTGCGGCCGGACTTATCAGCACACAGCTAAATGTGAGTGTACCAATGACCATGAGGGCGAGGTTGGTACTCCGATATGGATATGGATATGGATATGGATAGGAAATGCACACGAGTACACACAAGTACTTGACCTATTTTATTTTATTTTATTTTTTTAACGGTAGCGCTCAAGAAGTCTTTGCTAATCCAGCGGCCTAGCTCAGTTGGTAAGGCAGACAAGTGGCATTCAGGAGGTCGTGGGTTCAATCCCCATTGGCCCCATGCACCTTCCTGGGCATGCTTGGCGCTCGCCACCTAGAGATAGACCACTGGATCCCCCGATAGGCATTGAGCAGAGTCTGCTGATGTTCGTATGGGAGGGGACCACCACCTGAGGGGAGGCACAGGGATTGGTCCTGTTGGCATGGTCCCTGATGCTACCGGCTGTGCGCTAGCCAGTATCGCCCACCTGCAGGTCTGGAGCAGCCCCCCCATGTTCTCTCGTGAACACGGTTCTGGCTGCTACGGGGTTCCCCGTATGCCTACAATTAGGAGTAGTGG